ACAATTGTAATAAAATATCTCTTACTTCAATTTTTTCGTCATTTTTTAAAAGTTTGGTTGTGCCCCACAACATAAAAAGTCTGCGTCCGCCCCTGATGGCGATGGCTTCTTCTCCAGCATTGCCAGTCTTCACGTGCAATCCTTCTAGGGGATGACTTCACCTTCATTTTCACTCATTCTATTTCAAGAATCAAGAATTTTGGGAAAAATAGTAGGTTCATGGTAGGCTTTTTACTAAAAGGTTTTGCTCTTCGTTAGAAATATGGTTTCCCGTAGACAATAGTTTGTTGACCTTAGAATCTAATTGGGTTCCAACATATCAATAGATAATATCTTATATCCTCTAGTGTTCATTACCTACACACACATTAGAGGCGAAAATCGAGGTATCTTCAAATAAAGACAGGACCTTGATCATATGCGTTCCGACATTTAATTCAATAAAGGGTCAAGAAAGTATATAGTGTGAGATAACCATGAAAGAAGGAGAATAGCAAGAGTAGGGTTTGATCTATAGAGTGTAAGTGCCTAAATGTTAAAATTAACTCCAAGTGATATCAAGTGTGAGCATTTACAAGGAAAATGAATGCAATTGGGGCTCTTTGGATGTTTAATTCGTGGTATCATCCCAATAAATAGCTCACGAGTAAAGCTTAATAATGCCACATCATAGCCATCATAGGCCTACGACTTTCCACAAGTCGTCCTAGGTGGGAAATAGATAATTTAACTCCCAGTCACCTTTCTAGAGGTGTCACCTCAATCAAAATGCACGTGGCTCAATATGTAATATAAAAGCTTGCAAAATGCATCAGTCATTCTCTTACCCTAATCACCTCAGACTCAAGACACCCATCAGTGTGATTAAGGATTGGGTCTCCTCTTATCGCCTCATAGAAGAGAGGTGACAAGTCTGCACAGAGTTATATCGCTACGGAGGTTATTTTTGATGAGGGGTTGTTAGTCGATGAGGCAATGGAAGTGGCCTCATCACCTCAGAAATATAGATCTACAAGTTAAGCGGATGTCACTTCATTGCCTCAGCTTAAAATATAGTGGAGGTGTCAAATTAAGGATAAAACAGGTGTAGCGTACAATAACTATTAATATGCAGAGAAATGCTACAAGTATAGGAAAATTTCCACAGATTTTGCACAGGAAGACATCATGGTAATTCGTGAGAATGTCTTGGTCTATTTGGTGTGTACTATGTGCCATGCAATAATCAACTTTATGTGAAGAAATAAATTTGTGATTAATTATTGAATACTCTGCCTCTTTGGAACTGATACATTCATAACTTGTGTTGATGCACAAAATGTACAACCC